AGACATGTCCAACACGGAAAGGGAGGCTAATGGGAAAAGACAGGAAGAAGAAGATGGGGGTGATGGGGGGGGCAGGTTTTTGGCTATCATTTAAACCAGAAATAAGTCTAAGGTAGCCTTTTGATCCCCCAATCTACAGTTAGTAATAGACACTTTTTTCAGTCCACCGGACAAAGCAGCGGCAACATTCACGACAGTTGCTTTTATATTATAAGAAGACCTCTCCTTCTCCACTACTAATTGCTCAGTTCTGAACAAGCACAGCTCTGAAATGCCCATGTACGCATTTGTGCTTGCATCTACCTCAAGCTAGCGCAGGTGGCTGAAAAAGCAAATCGAGGAGGCCAATAACAGGGAAGAGCAAATCTGTACATGCAATGACATCCTGCAGTGTTGGCGTTGGGATACAACCTAAAGCATGAACTGGGATGAATCCCCCAAGCTTACAGGACAGCACGACGTTCAGTATCCTTACACCTCTTTTCTGTTGGCTGAGAAATGGACCCTGGAATCAAGTAATCTGCATGGACAGGAGACAGCCTTGAACACAGTTGCTACACGGGGGAATGACTCTAAATAAATATTTAGTAATTGCTTTTGAATTGCTCCCTATACAGGAAAGTATAATTGCTTCATGCATCTCTATCCCTGTTAGCTGACCGCAGCAGATTTTAAACTGCTGGTACTCTGTCCTTACAAGGGTGCATCAGATCAGCTCCACTTAGAATAGAAGTGTGATTCATTTTTTTTTACAGTTGTGGGAGTTGGGGTTTTTTTTTTAACCCCACTGTCCCCAGGGCAACATACACAGTTCTCTCCCCTATTATTGTCACTGCAATCTTGCGAGGTAAATTAGGCCGAGAGGGAGAGAGACTGGCTCAAGGTCATCCAGTGGCCTTATAAGGCCGAGTGGGAATTTGAACCCTGTTCTCCCAAACTCTAGCCCGACATTCTAACCACAACATTTCACAGATTAGCCATTCTCTACATGGTGCTACTCTGGTTAACCACCTCTGGCCTTTTCAATTCGGGGTGTTAAACCCACCTTGCGCATCCTAGGTAGGCTTGCCAAGTCTCCCTGGGGTACGGGGAAAACCCCGCCCCAGAGGCCCATTCCCCGGGGGGAACTCCACCCCGACATGCACGTCGCCCGGAAGTGATGCGGGCACGCCGGGCATGCTGGGGGCGGGGCCACGGTCATCCGAGGGAAAACTCTATTGAAGAACTCTATTGTCATCCGAAAACTCTATTGTCATCCAAGGGGAAAAAAAACTATTGAAGAAGTCCCCCGCTGCGGCTCAGTTCTCACTTGGCAACCCTAATCCTAGGACCTGTGCTCTCTCTTTTGTTCCCCAAACCCCTGCTCAGTGTGGAGAAATGCTACACGTGTCGGTGGGCGCCTTTACTTGCCGCTTTCAGGAAGCGGTATAAGGCCGGTTCATTACAGAAGGCTGCTTTGGCTGCATTTTAACTGTGTGCATTGGCATTTAAGTCTCCCGTCTATTGGTTGCAACTTGTTGCTGGAGGCTTATGATGTCCGTGTCCTTGCAGGTGTTTGTGGCTTTCTTAGCCTTCTTGAGTCTGAAGAGATAAGGCAAGGCATAGATATTTTAAATAAATGAACAGAAAATAAAATGGGGTGACAGGTGGGGATGGTGCTGTGGTGAGGAATGCCAAGTGCCCCCTTGGGACCAGTGTCCTCCCCCCAATGGCCTCCCCAACATTCTTGATTCTGAGGCCAGGAGGAGAAGCAGCAGGGGTCAGAGATGATGTTGTACTATGGGCGGACGTCACATCCATGGGGAAAACCCAGATGTGATGCCAGAAGTCAGCCTACACCCCATTAATTCTGTATTGTGAACAATGCTGCGATGTCGCATCCAGGTTTTTGGGCAGATGTGGTATCAGCACATAGTGCGACATCACATCTGCCCTTGGCCCTACTCCCAGTGCGGCAGCCCGGCACTCCTAAGTGGGGTGGGTCCAGCCGCTCTTCTCAGTGACATCCAAAGTCTTCCTCCAGCCTACAGAGCCTTCCCCCAACTGCTGTAATGGCTTCTCAGACACATGGGAGTAAAAACAGCTCTGAACCTGTCTGGGGAGATAATCAGTGTGACCCTGCCTCCCCGCTACACACAGGATCTACACAACTGAACCTTTCACAAATGTGCGTGTGTGTAAAACGGATGACAAAGTGACAGTCAGATGATCAGGAATAATCCGGAAGAAACTTTAGAAGAAGAAGAAGAGATTGGATTTATACCCCACCCTTCACTCGAAGTCTCAGAGCGGCTTACAATCTCCTTCCCTTCCTCTCCCCACAACAGACACCCTGCGAGGTAAGTGGGGCTGAGAGAGCTCTGACTAAGAACTGCTCTTGAGAGAACAGCTCTGAGAGAACTTGTGACTGACTCAAGGTCACCCAGCTGGCTGCATGTGGAGGAGTGGGGAATCAAACCCGGTACTCCCAGATTACAGTCCACACTCCTAACCGCTACAACAAACTGGCTCTCTTTACCTTTCTTTGTTGTTATTAGATGCCAGTGCTACAAAAACAGGACGTGCTTTGTGGATATTTCTTAAGGTCAACCTAGACATTATGTTTTGCCCCTAGTCGGGTTTGGGTTCCCCTGATCTGGCTTTCATCCTGTCACAGTTAGATGGTAGCTGCTCAGAACTAAGTCTGCAAGCACCACAGGGGCCTGATCTGGATTGGAACCATGGCGTCGGGGGAGGGACTCAGCCTTTAGCCTCTGTGCCATTTGCCCAACCCAAAAGGTTCTGGGCCCGCCCCCTGATAGGGGGGCTGCCCAATGGCATGGGGAGGGGGGCTGACACTCCTTCCCCATATGGTCCTAGCCCTAACTGGGCCCCCACGACGCTTGGGAAATTGTGCAAAGACATAACATGCAGCTTGGCCCTTATATACTATGACACGAACCTTGTTCAAGAGTAAAAGAAATGGCTATACCAACCTTGTAACCTCATTACTGCGACTGTAACATAACTTCAAACCAAAACTTACTCATTTTGCTCATACCTGTGAGGGAGATTTAGGCCGTGCTGGTGCGGGAGAGGCTGGTGCCAATGTATGGTTAGGACTGGCTTCAGGACTAAGTGGAGGTGAGGCCTCTTCGGGTGGAGACGGAGTTTTTGCGATTCGGAGTGGGCCTGAATCACTAGATGGATGCAAAATAAATTTGTTATATGTACAGTGCACTCGGTTTTAATATGCTGGGCTACTTTTCAGCACTCTCAAGAAACATCCATTCATATTTTCTACTCAATGGTTTTAGATTTATGAAAGTTACATTTAGTCTACTACATTATGGGAGCTGCGGTGGCTCAAGTGGTAAAGACGCTGAACTGCAGGCTGTGGAAGGTCAGTAGTTCAGCAGTTCGAGACCCGGGTGTGCCGCATGACGGAGTGAGCTCCCGTCTCTAGTTCCAGCTCCTGCCAACCTAGCAGTTCGAAAGCAAGAAATTGCAAGTAGATAAATAGGTACCACTTCGGTGGGAAGGTAACAGCGTTCCGTGCGCCTTGGTGTTTAGTCATGACGGCCACATGACCACGGAAACAGAGATGAGCACCGCAACCGTAGAGTCGGATTTGACTGGCTATCAAGCAAGGGAACCTTTACCTTTACTACATTATAGGTAATTTTTTTAAAAAAACAGACTCAGTCCTGGAAACCAACCTCATATTGGCCTAAATATTTAGGGTTGGATCCTACAACTCCCTTCCACTTAGAGGGGAGCTTTCCGCCACCAACAAGAGAACATGACTCCTTATTTAGCAGATGAAGAATACAGGAACCAGCCCTTACTTAACAGGGACTCTGCTTCCTTTTCTCATATATCTAATGTTCTCCCCAATCACTGATTACACCTTGAAATATCCATCAGAATGAGTTGTTTTTATACAGTAAAAGGTAAAGGTTTCCCTTGCTCGAAAGCCAGCTGAGTCTGACTCTAGGGTTGCGGTGCTCATCTCCGTTTCAAAGCCGAAGAGCCAGCGCTGTCCGAAGACGTTTCCGTTGTCATGTGACCGGCATGACTAAACACCAAGGCGCACAGAACGCTGTTACCTTCCCACCGAAGTGGTACCTATTTATCTACTTGCAATTTCTTGCTTTCGAACTGCTAGGTTGGAAGGAGCTGGAACTAGAGACGGGAGCTCACTCCGTCATGCAGCACACTCGGGGCTCGAACTGCTGAACTACCGACCTTGCACAGCCTGCAGTTCAGCGTCTTATACAGTACCACACATGAATTTTTTCTCCTCAGTATTCAGCAGGGGATCTCTGACTTTTCAGACTTTCACAACATTTATCTGCGATCTTTGCCATCACCATTGAATATCAACTATCATTGTGACATCAGTTATAATCTATTACAACCAACATACCTATTATACATTACATAATTAACGAGAAGTGATGTTTTAAAAAAATGACTATTCAAGAAACTATTCAGGCATATCCCCACTTAGTATAAATGACTACAGGTCTTATTGTCTACATTGATACCACATTAAACAACAAGAGCTGAGGAATCAGATGTCTAGTCTAGAAAGCAGCCTGCCGTCTAAGAACATCTATGGTTCATTAAAAGCTATTGGGCTGTGTTTTGAAGCAGCATACAGCTACAGCCTGGCGTGATCTGGTCCATGGGGTCGCGAAGAGTCAGACTCGACTGTGCGACTGAACAACAACAACAGCTACAGCATTCTATAAGCACCCTAACTCGAATAGATGAGATGCGGGCTCAGGCATCATTGCACAGAACTAGTAATACATGATTGATTAAGACCTCAATCATGTTCTACTTCCTACAGCAAAACAAAGTTATTCTCAAACACTGGGACACATCTTAGGGTTCACTCACCACCTCTGTCTGGGAATTAATTTTTTTTTTAAAAAAAGAAAGACACAGACATTAGCATGTTCTTTCCATTTTGCTGTTGATTCTCTACAAGCTACTCAGTGAAGGAACATGTTGTTTGGTTGTGCTGAATTTTTCCTGTGATCATCTTCAGTGAGAAAGGGGGCCTTTCAGACGGAAAAAGGCACACACCCTCTTTACCTTTCTTTATATCTGTTTTGGGGTATCTATAGTGCCTTGTTGTTTTGTTTCTTTAAACAAGTTATTTCTTCCTGGCCACAGGATCCCAGCTCATTAAGAATCACACAGTCCAGTATGAAAATACTGCATCAGTATCACATAACAAATGAGATTTTGCTATATGACATCTTCTTAAGGCCAATTCAAAATAAGCTCAAGAAGTATTATTCTCACTCCAAATGGATACTGAGCTGTATTGCACACACTTTTTGATCGAATTATAACAGTCCACTGAAAAATAGCCAAAATGGGTGCTTCGCAAAACACCCTCCACATCTTAGCTCAGTCCTGTCATTTTCAAATATTCTGTTACTGCCTCTTGCTATGACACAGATACTATAAATTAATGTTAAAGCTCAAGGCCTGTTTAGAAATACAAAGTGTCTATCAAGACCACATAATCTTGGGTTAGGGGTTAAATGGAACGACATACAGATGTGTTTTAAAAAAAGTATTGCAGCAAACCTTACCCTGACAGCTAGAATCCAACAAGAACAGACACCACTTGATATCAATAATTATTAATTTAGCTTTTAGCAGGCAAGCATACAATGCCCTTTGTGGCACCCCTCCATTGTTTATGGTATGTCTCGGACCAATTCTCCCCCCCCCCATGTTTTTCTAATTATGTAATCTACATAGAGAGTCTCAGTGGGAAAGGTAAACTATAAATAAAGTAAGCAAACAAAAAAATAAATAAAATAAAACCACAAAGAGTGATATAGTCTGTACTGTTTGCATTGCGGGGAACAGCACCATATCCTTCTGAACAACGTGGTAGCCAAATTTTAGGCCAATAGTTATTATGTAAGCAAAGCTGGTTTTATAAGTTCAGAAGCAGAAGCAGATCAGTTTATAACTTAATACGGGGGGGAAACAGCCATCCCATAAAGGAAGAGTGAAAAGAAGTCATCTTCCATAATGTAAACACCAGATGTGATCCTGATGTACCTTGGAGTAATTTAATACAGCACAACTATACTGACTAAAGTTTGCATCTTATACATAAAATCAGGGCTATTTTTGGGCAGAAACGCACAGGAACAGAGTTCCGGCTGGCTCCCGAGTTGGTCACGCCCAGCAGGAACTCATTAGCATAATAGGCCACACCCAACAGCAGGAACTCATTAGGATTGGCTACATTAGGGGTGTGTGGCCTAACATACAAAGGCGTTCCTGCTCCTGGGTTTTGACAACAAACAAGGTAAACAGAATAAGAAGGGAAAGGTGGGTGTGGCTGGATGACCACACTTCTGGTAACATGGGGATGTGGCCTAATATGCTAATGAGTTCCTGCTGTTGGGTGTGGTCTATTATGGTAATGAGTTCCTGCTGGGCTTTTTCTACAAAAAGAGCCTTGCATAAAATGAATTGACACAAAACTGAGTGAAACAGGCAAACAGGAATTATAAACTCTGATTAATTTGCTCTCCCCCAAACTACTGGTGGTATGATTGGTGTCCTTAACAAAGGGTATACACACTGCAATTTGGCAGAAAAATTCATCACCTGGGTGCTCCTAGGATGGTGAAGGCCTTGTCAGCGTGTTGTTCTCCCAGCTTGGTCATCACCTCATAAAGTTTGTGGCATAGCTGAGGAGAGACAGTCATCATTATCTATGCTATTTTAGAGGAAAACAGGATCTACTAAAATCACACATCTGCCCAACAGTGATCCTAAGATTAGCCATCCTTTTAAAAATAGGGCATTAATCACAGTCACAGACATCACGTGGAGCTCTAGCACAGCTTCACACTTCACTGGTTAAGATGTACTGCAAGTATTCTTGAGATGAATGTTTTTTTTGCTCTGGGAGCGTTTCTTGACAAAAAGGAAAACGGCTCAAAAAAGGGGCCTTTATTACTTGCTACCATTAACAAGATGACAGAGAGGTCTCCTTCTTGTTAAGCATCTGAATCTTTTCAGTATTGAGTCTGCAGCAGTGGTTTCAGTCCACTCTGAAACCGTTAGTCGAGTTCTGTTTTGTTTCCCACACAATGTCTGTACAAGTTTTATCTTCATAAATAAAGGGCAGAAATGTATCAATTGCCATTTCAGTAGGTAGGGTTGCCAAGTGTGAATTCAGCCGCCAGCGGGGGACTCCCGGCTGCATCCACGTCACCCGGAAGTGACGCGGGCACGCCGGGCACGCTGGGGGCGGGGCCACAACCATCCAAGGGAAAACCATAGAGTTTTCCCTCGGATGACCGTGGCCCCGCCCCCAGCGTGCCCGGCGTGCCCACATCACTTCCGGGTGATGTGCACATCAGGGTGGAGTTCCCCCCGGGGCCCGATCTGCCGGTGGCGGGGAACGGGCCTCTGGGGCGGGGGTTTCCCCGCCCCCCAGGGGGACTTGGCAAGCCTATCAGTAGGGCATCCTGGTTAGCAAATTAAGAAAGACAGATGTAGTATTTTTACTACCTGGGGTGTGTGATTTGGAAGCACACTCTCTGCACCGAATACAATTTTTTCCATCTAGAGGCATGCCGGGGGGTGGGGGGGGGCGGAATGGCTGTATACAACTCCACCAGAAATTGTCTATGAATGGCACTGATTGGTTGGCCGTTGTGATATCACAAGGTCATCCCACCTCCCTTCCTCAGAGCTGTTCTGCAACTATTTCTAAATTGTTTGCATTGGGAGGTGGTATTTATCTACCAAAATATACTCAAATCAGGATCGAAACCATCAAAAATATTAGAATACATATTCCAGAAATCTAAAAGCAGCTGGTAAAAACCAGTTTCAAAGTACCAGATTAAACATCTGAAAGCAGCAGATGTTATCAAAGCAATCAAAGTTCATACAACCAGTCAACTGAATAAGCATACATCAAGTACTTTACAAAGTAAATGGGAAGCTGGATCTGGCCTTGAGGCCTGGTGGTTAGTGGCAAGCCTAACAACAGAATGAGGGTGCGACGACAATGCACAGTCCACCTGGTGGCTCCTCCCAGCACCACCCAAAACTTCTATTGCATTTTCGGTACACTAGAAAAACAGTTACATTACCATTCAGTTTTCATTCACTAATGCTAACTCAGTAATAAACTTAATCATTTCAGTAACAGAAAGGGAACAAGGCAATGATAAGATATTTAAAGACGTACACATCTTAGCACTTTCCCCCCCATATATTTCCAGTTCTTTAGCTGCTTTTCTTCCACAATGCATTCCTTTTTACTCACCGAAGTGATTTCTTTGTGAAATTTGGCTTCAAGGCTGGAGACATTTTTGAATGTGGTCACATAAAAACCAACTCGTCTGGGGGGGGGGGGGGGGGGAGGAATGACAAGGTAAAAATGAAAAGGTTGTAAAACGGAAAGGGAAATAATAAAGTGTATTATTGAATATTATTGAAACAACAATATTTTCCCCTATGGCTTCAAAATGCAGAGGAAAAAAACAAGAAAATAACTCTACACATGAAATAATATTTTATTTTTGGTTACAGTATAAATTCAAACCACATAAAGGAACTGTACAGATATGTGGCTTCTAATGAAAGGGAATTTTTTTTGGGGAAGAGACCCACACATTTCCAATTCTGATGCTGAATAAGGGCTCCTTCAGACAACTTAAGAACAATTCTAGCTCCTCATTCAAGGTCAATTTATCAGAGTTTTTTCACAGGCGGAAGGATATTTGCTCACAGGGCACAATTTCCCCACTTACCATGCCCATGGCAGCCTGAAATGTCCCCCTCCAAATCATGTTCCTAGGGGTTCCTTTTCCCAAAGAACAGGATTTGAAGGGGGCATTTCAAGCTGTGATGGGCGGGGGCGGGGTGAGAAAGTTGCACCCTATAAGCAGATATCCTTCTGCCTGTGGAAAAGTTCCAGAGGATCTACGCCAATATCGTGAATAAGGCTGACACAATTTCTACATACGTCTTACCAGTAAATGAAATCCAGTACTTCATATTACATAAGACAAAATCTTTATATATGAAGACATAAGAGCTGGCTAACTACAGAATGATTTTCACATAAACACACACACACACATGCCCACACTATCTGAAATAAAATAGTATAGCAAGATGGAAGCTCTCAAAATGAGCACCACCCAAGAATGATCTTTAGAAGGGTGCAGAGAAAATGTATTAATCAATGGAAGAAAGTGTTTTTCAGGCTGCAATCAGCACCTGAATGAAGGGAATTCTGCATGCAGTAAAGATTCAGGTTTGGTTCAGACACAGCACGACCACAATCTGGTATTACAGATGAACTAAGCCTCTCTGTCACACAGAACAACGGGCCAAGGAACTGCAAAAGACAAACCCACGTTGTAAGGAAATAAGAGCAGGGCCAGCTAGAAGTCTTCCCTGAAAGTTCACTCACAGGTAGTCCAATCTACATTATTGAAACAAACGATATAGACACACCCACCCTTACCACCAGACATAAAATCACAGACCTCAGGCATACAGCCAGATCTTTTCCAAATGCAGTCCTCCTTCATCTTGGGATTTGATCTCTCCCTTTATCTTCCACCTCCCTCAGCTGTTCCCCTGACCACATACTGAAATTCTGAGGTCACTTCCTTTCCATCCTCACAATAGCATGATATTATAAGATTCCTCCCTCATCCTAATGCATCATGCTGGTTAAATTCACGCACTCTAATCTGGGAGAACCGGGTTTGATTCCCCACTCCTCCACTTGCACCTGCTGGATGACCTTGGGCAAGCCATAGTTCTGGCACAGCTGTCCTTGAAAGGACAGTTTCTGTCAGAGTTCTCTCAGCCCCACCTACCTCACAGGGTGTCTGTTGTGGGGAGGGGAAAGGAAAGGAGTTTGTAAGCCGCTCTGAGACTCCGAGTTAAGGGCGGGGTATAAATCCAATCTCCTTATTCATAGGTTCGAAAGCAATAAATTACATCATGATGCGAGTAGATAAATCGGGTTCCTTCCTTAGATGGCAGGGAGCACCCTTCCCCATTAAGGGGGTGGAACATCGGTGGCGAGTGAAGAACTTCGATGGCGAGTGGCGAAAAATGGCGATCGAGCACAACATCGGTGAGCTGTGACCAGACGTCGGCAGGCGGAGCCAGGAGACACAGGGGAGCGTGAGGCGCAGGCGGAGCCACGATGGACGGAGCCAAGGCCGCGCCAATACGAGCTGTGCGCCGAATGGACCTACCAGCCGACACCAAGGATCGCAAGAAGGAGAACGGAACAAAGCGCCGAGCCAGCAATAGCCAGCAGCCGAACCAGGAGTGAGAAGTACAACAACTCCTTCCACAGGGTGCCGGTAGGATAGTCCCCACCCCGATTGAAATGTGGCCATAGATAAGGTTAATTAAGAATACTGTAAGCCGCTCAGAGACCCATGGGGGTGTTCGAGCGGGATAGAAACCAAAAATAATAAATAAATAATAATAATAGGAGAGAGACGCTAGCTCTGATTACTGTTTTATTCTGCTTTATTCTTCGAAACAGAGGCTGAGATCATAGCTAGCAACACTGATTCATGGAAAGATTCAAAACCAAGTCTTGTAATACTTTTTGTGGGATTTCCATTTTATTCTTTTATATGTATTTACCTCCTTTATACCTTGCCTTCCTCCCCAGTGGGGATCCAAAGTGACTTAGGTCATTCCTCTCTCCTCCATTTTCTACTCACAACAACCCTACTAGGTTAGGCAGAGAGTGTGTGACCGGCCCAAGGCTACCCAGCAAGTTTACACAGCAGAGTAGGGATTCAAAAGTGGGTGTTCCGGGGTCCTAGTCCGACACCCTATCCATGACACCCCACTTGCTCTTCTGTTTATGTTACTGCCTAGATGGGAGTCATCTCAAGAGTGACACACTAAGAGGTAGCATCTCAACACTTAATGAAAAATAAATTATAAGACGCAAAGAGATGGTGGCCACCCAGCTCGTCTGGGCTGCTATGAAACACGGTAGGGCAAGAACCACTCATTATATCTACCTTGACCATAAAGACGGAAGCTCTTCTTGTAAATCGGTATTAAAATCTTCAAATACTTTCTGTGCTTTCTGAAACTCTTCTTCTGCCTAGAATGAAACCAAATAGATTAGCACACATTTCTCTTGACACACACAAAAGGATGCCGGGTAACAGAAGACACAGCCAGCTCTCGCTGGGGTTTCCCAGAGCTGATACTCTTGAGACAGAGTCAGGAAACAGGAAGAGAATGATAAGCAGGTATGCAGGGGCAGGGTGGAAAGCCCAGTTCTGTGCCTGAGCTTCAAACGGAAGAGCCGGCCCAGCAGCTTTACAGAACCTGGTGGAACCCTTCTGGTCCTTTGTGTCATTTTACTTCTGCTGAGCTGCAATACTACACTCTGGCCACCTGCAGTGGTGGCACTGAAGAGTGGCAGATGGTGGACTGGCAGATTCCTCCTCTGGGTCCTCTTGCTTTCTGGGTGGTATACAGAGTAACGTGTCAAGCTTCTGCTACTAGATGACCCTGGAGGTCCCTTCCAACTCTATGATCCTATGATTCTATACTACAGTCCCCAGTCTCAGATCTTACAAGCTAATGCTTTCTGTCTGAGGGCAGTTCACAAGCCATTTGCCTTCGGCTCATAAGAGAGGAAATCCAAGACAAAAGGAAAGTGAAGCTTCAGACATTTAAGTGACAGTGGCAATCATCATACAACGTATACTCATACGTGGTATCAGCTACACCTTGATGATGAGACAGGGTTATTAGATGTCAGCCCAGAAACCTGTGAATTTAATTTATGTATATTTTTAAAAGATCAATGAACAGCATGTTTTAATGTGCCCAGTGAACCGAAAACTTCCATGGAAAATAAAAAGAGTTGCAGATTGACTCTTAATTCACACCATGCGGAAGGACGCTGGGAACTGCTTCTCCTTTATAGGACCATGTGATGATTCAGCTGACCCACACTAATTCCTTTCTACAGATGTTAACATAGTAGCATCATCAGGAAGCATTTCCTGTAAGGTACCGTGAAGGAATGACTAGTCACAGTAAATTATGAGTGGAGGAGGGTGACAAACTGAGGAGCCCACATATCCATTTACTCCGAACTAATGAAGGGAAAAGCCTGAGATATATAATACTTACAAAAAAATAAGAGGCTAGATGGCCATCTGACAGCAATGCTGATTCTGTGAACTTAGGCAGATCATGAGAGGGAGGGCAGGAAGGGTTGCATCAGTGCTTGTTTCTTGTGGCCCTTTCTTACATGCCCAGGGAAATGCTGATCGCCACTTTGGGGTCAGGAGGCAATTTTTCTCCATGCCAGTTTGGCTGGAGATCCTGAAGGGTTTTTGTTTATCATCTTCTGGGTGTGGAACATGTGGAACAGTGGTCACTGTGTGTGGAGGGGGGTAGGGCTGCCAAGTGGGGGCGGGTAAACCCCCGCTTTGGAGGCCCGATTTCCGCCACCATGGAATCGGGCCCCGGGGGGAACCCCGCCCCCCGAAGCACAGCGTGGCTGTGTCACAGGAAGTGACGCAACTACGTAGAGCATGTTGGGGCCGTGGCCCCAATCGTCGGAGGGAAAGCTCTATGGTTTTCCCTCCAAAGATTGGGGCCATGCCCCCAACATGCTCTACGTTGTGCGTCACTTCCTGTGACGTTCTGGCGGCGCACGTCCACCGGCAACTCCCGGACCCCGGCGACGCTCCCCCGCCGGTAAGTCCAAGTGACTTGGCAACCCTGGGGGGGGGAGGTATTTGTGAATGTCCTGCATTGTACAGGGGGTTGGACTAGCTGACCCTGGAGGTTCCTTCCAACTCTATGATTCTATGAACGCTACTTCCTGCAAGAGGCCTGCCTGTCATTAGAAGCACACTGGCCTCTAGACAAGGCCTATGAAATTCTTGGCACTCGGGCATATGTGGTACAATATCAGTTCACCGTAACCTGGAAGGAGTTTGCTAAACCACTAACGAATCCTAGTTTTTCTTGCCGTTCCCTTTTGGTGCAGTGAAATCTGTGGATCAGGCAGGATTTTGTGAACACCTGGCGGTTTTACTCACACTCAGAAATTCTGGTGCCAGTTGTAATTTAGAGATATATTCTACCTTAGAAATTCTGCCTTCATCTTTTCTCTTTGAACTCTGCAAAGCTTCCAAATGATGTCTAGCACTGTCGTAGTCAACCAGTTTTCTACTCCGCTTTGCAATGCGATTCTGTAAAGAGTTACCACAGTCAAAAAAACAGTTCTTCTTAGGCACCCAAGTCATTTACAATGCAGCTTTTAAAAAGGCTGACATGTCCTACCTTCAACAACACATTTCCATATTTCTTTCTCTTATCATTTAGACCCACATTTTCCAGCCATATTGTCTAAAGCAAATGCACTGAGTGGGGGGCGGAGGGGCGGGGGCTGTTCGTAAAGGCAGTTTTGAGCTTCAACTCAGGCCAGGGATGAGACACAACACCAACAATGGGTTGAAGGCTGGATTACTAAATTTTGTATCTGAGTCTCTGAATAAGTAACTGAGAAACTGCAGCCACAGAACTTATTTGAAATGTCTCTACATTAAAATCTATTTTGACATATCGTTTATGCCTTGCTTAATAGTGGTCAGAGTGTCGGACTAAGATCTAGGAGACCCAGGTTGAAACCTGCCCACTCAGTGGGTGATCTTGGGCCAGTCACATTCTCAGCCTCACTTACCTCACAGGGTGATGGTAGCGAGGCTACAATGGAGGACCAGAGAGTGTCCCCATTGGGCAGAAAGTGGCGTACAGATGAAGTAAATTAATAATAAAGAAGGTTGGAATCAGTTTGAGGAGCCCCACGTTAAACCAAGCTGTAGCCTAGTTCATTAGTAAGGTAAAGGTAAAGGTTTCCCTTGCTCAAAAGCTAGTCGAGTCCGACTCTAGGGTTGCGGTGCTCATCTCCGTTTCCAAGCCGAAGAGCCAGCACGGTCCAAAGACATTTCCAGGGTCATGTGGCCGGCATGACTAAATGCCGAGGCACACGGAATGCTGTTACCTTCCCACCAAAGCGGTACCTATTTATCTACTTGCAATGCTTTCGAACTGCTAGGTTGGCAGGAGCTGAGCCAGAGACGGGAGCTCACTCCATCCCACGGCACTAGGGTCTCGAACTGCCGAACTACAGACCTTCCGGTCTGCAGCTCAGCAACTTAACCTCTAAACCACCACGGCCCTAGTTCACTAGTACCAAAGTATAATTCCAATCAGAACATAGTAGTGTTCTCCTTTGGAAACTGATTTTCGTAGGCTCCTTATTTCCTACAGTGTATCGTTATTAGAATTTACGGGTGCATTTTTACCAAGGGGGGGGGGGATTAAGCCTTGAGTTGCCTTAAGGCAAAAATATACAACAAAGAAACTAAAAAGCCCACCAGCAGTAGTCAAAATTCAACTCAACCGAAAAAGTGCATCAATAGAAAGAAAGCAAAGATATCTAACTTGGAACATTGTCCCCCCCCCCCCATTGCAATCAAGGTGCAAGAAGTTTATGTTTAATATGCAGAACTCAAACATCAAGCCATATATGTCTCAGGCAAAAGTGAAACAAAAACCCACACATTCATATGACCAAGGAAGAATATCTCCTGGCCCTAATATGTAGGGTTGCCAGGTCCTCCATGGCCACCAGCAGGCAATTGGGTGGGGGGGGGATAGGGTTGCCAGATCCAGGTTGGGAAACCCATGGGGGCAGAGCCTGGGAAGGACAGGGTCCTTGGTAGGTACAGTGCCCTAGAGTCTACCCTTCAAAGCATCCCTTTTCTCCAGGGGGACTGATCTCTGTAGTGTGGAGATGCGCTGTAATTCCAGGGGGTCCCCAGGTCCCACCTGGAGGCTGGTATCCCTACGGCACTCAGGGAATCCTGTGGAAGAAAAACATTTGGAAACATTCCCAGAAGGCCAAGACATGAGACAGGTATCTTTGCTGGGGTTGATTTCAGTTTCACAGCATGAAAGTCCTTCCGGGGGGGGGGGGGGCTTTAAAAAATGCATGGTATTTAGTGAACTGCTGGGTAAGAATATGCCTTTTGAACCTAAAGAGATTCTATTAGAAATTTTGAAAGGCTACGTAGATGATGCAGATTTGGAATTAGTCTTAAACCTATTCACGGCTGCCATGGTGGTCATAGCAGCAAACTGGGGGAAAATAGGGTCTACTTCTATAAATAGATAATTAAATAAAATTTGGTCTGACAAGATTAATGCATTATCAGACAGCTAGGAGTAATTCTTGACATTATGACCTGTGTAATAGACATTGGTTATTGCTTATTATAATTTGGAATGAAAAAATATGTGGTAAGATTTATCTGTTTGCTTTCTATGAATCTCTGTAAAGGTTCTCTCTTTTTTGGTCATTGTGTAATTAACTACAATGTAAAATATGGATGAATTGATCATTAACTATTCCTGAATTACACCATTCTTGAGATCTATCTAGTAGTATTTCACACCAGAATAATATTTCTTAAACCAGTTCTTGTATACACACACACACACACACGGAAACTAGAATTGGTTTAATCAAAATTATTCTGGTGTGAAATACCGCTAGACAGATCTCAAGAACGGTGTAGTTCAGGCAAAGTTAATGATCTGTTCATCCACTCTCCTATATTAGAACCCATTATCCATGCGCAAGCAACCCAACAGATGGGTCCATGTATAATCTCAAGTATCTATATGTAATGGTTGGTGACTTCTGTTTCAGTGCATCTGAAGAAGCGTGCATACACACAAAAGCTTATACCTGGAATCTAATTTTGTTGGTCTTAAAGGTGCCACTTGGAATAAAACTTTGTTCTGCTGCTTCAGACCAACACAGCTACCCACCTGAATCTAATCTCAAATACAGATTGCCACAAATAATGAGATCATTAACTTATACCTGTAGGAAAATAGGGACATAGCTCCATAGTAGAGCATGAGTTTGCAAGCCAAAAGCCCAAGTTTCCATCTCCAACTAAAAGGATCTAGGGGTGGGAAGATGTCTGCTCAAAAGGTCCCTGCCCTTCACAGTAGATAATACTGGACTAGATACACAGTGGCACATAAAAGCTTCATGTGATTGAATATTTAGTGAAACAACCCCGATGGCTTCAGCTGTGATCCAAATAATATTTTATAGTCAAATAATACCTGGAATAGGAACTTCACATATTAACTCTCGCTAACTTTCACAAGGTCAGAAATATAGAAATACTGTGTGTGGTAGAATCATGAAGCACCATTTCATTTTCCTTGACATGAGATGGTCATAGGAATGGGACATCACATTCCCATTTATGGATGGTGCACATGATGTGCAATGACAGACTTGTGCATAGACTCAGCATCCCTGTGAGTACAATGTTTTCACGTTGCCAACCAGGTGAACCAGCCTAAACAGAAACGTTGTACTACCTTAATATCAGGAAACTGTCCCAGATATGTATCCAAGGTCAGCAGTGATCCATCCACCAGCTTTTGATGGAAATCTTCCCAAAGCACATCACACTTCTGTGAACCGAGAAGAAATACAGCAAAATGAAGATCAACAAAAGCAATTACAATCCATATGCGCTGGTGGGCAGGGTTGCAAACAGTGCCGGCTTTACGCATAAGCTAAATAAACTACAGTTTAGGGCCTCGCAATCTGCTTGGGCCTCGAATAAAAACACAATATAAAAATGATTTCAAATATTAAAAAGGCATATATATTTTAAATTTCTCTGAGACCAGCTGATGTAATTTAAAACAGTAGGGGGCCTCTGGGTTTTGTATAGCTTACGGCCTCAGCAAGTCTAAATCCGGCCCTGGTTGCAAATGTGCTCCCACCTTACATGTATGCCAATGATGGGCATACATGTCCTTCCTTTGATTTTTAATAGTATTCTATTCTAAATAAGCATATTTAAATTGCCCAGACTTTCATTTCATCCATTGCTTTTCCTTAGGAACTGGCCAGATGCTACTACCCCCAACAATCCCCCATACAATAAATGAAAATTAGAACATTCACCTGTGCATGGAATTTTTCTGACCTCAAGACCCATCCCTTCTTTCAACCCACTGCAAGGAGAGGATCATGTAGTCGGATAACTGCAATACAGCCTGCCTCACATGTTACTTTCTACATGCAGTAAAAGAACCACTGGAGATAGTATGAAAACTCACTCCCACTATTATCACACTGATTTTTTTTCCTCCATAGAATTAAGTCTGACCAGGTCCTTACTATAAAGTATGACTAATGGCCTTTCTTCCATCTTGGGTATATACATCAGAAAGTTGATAAATGCTCGGCAGCATCCAACTCCGTGCACCTCATGTGAAAGGCACCCTTCCTGCCGTTACAAGAAACGAGCTGTATCAGCCACAGAATGCTTCGATTCCGAAATGGGAACCAAGATGTGGCCTCAGTGTTGTAAATGTAGCTACTTGGAAGTGAAACCTGTCAGTACAGACTGAAGGCACATGGTACAGGAATCTCACTGAAGCTAAGCAGACCTTGGTTTGGTTAGTATCTAGATGGAAGACCACCTGAGAATCCAATATATGCTGCCTTGAATTCACTGATGGAATCAAGGTGGGAGATTAGTGCAATAAGTACAATAATGTATAATACATAAATAAACCTAGCATCACAGAATAAACCAATCCATCATTTTTGAGTTCTTAAAAGCAGGCAAAAATATAGTAATATGGCAAAGAAAACTAGTAATATGGGGAATCAAATGTAGAGACAAATATCTATTAAGATCATCAGATCAGACTTTCACATGTGGCTAAGAGGAATGGAGAAATCCACCTCAACCAGAATTGGCGCTGGAAATTGGGGTTATCATGAAATTATTGGAGGCAGAACCTGCCACATTCCAGCAACTTCTAGGTCTGCTGTCATAAACCATCTGCCAAACCAAAGTGAGGTCTAGCATGACTTTGGGCCATTCCCAGGTTATGCTATGACTCACTTGCGTGCGTCAAAGTCTTCAGACATAACTGTTCCCTATTCTGCAAACAAGACCTCCATGTTTTCAAGGTAGGTCTAGTTCGGCCTTCCCAAGCCATGCTGGGCCTCGGCTTATATGCCCAGAGATCCCCAAGTCTAGTGAAAGATCAATGTCATCAATTAAGGACCACTTACTCTAAGGTTGCGAGCAGCAAACCTTAGGTTTTCCAGCAGCAAACAGAGTTCTAGGATGGCGTTGCAGCAACATCCATTCCGGTTTGCACCAGAAGTGATGTCTTCATGTTGTTGGTGATGCCAGGATGCTCTGGTATTTAGGCGAAAACTCTATGGTAGAAGTTATTTCCATTGTGCACCAAAAGAGACATTGCCATGTTGCCAGCGATCCTGGCCTAGGCCTCCTTTTGCTGCTGGTAAGTCCACCCCCCCCCCAATGGCCAGCTGATCGGTAGCAGGTGGAGGGGACCCTAGCTTACTCCCACAGACATCTATGAGGCTAGATGGGTAGCAACCCAGGAAAGGGCCTTCTTCGTCATGGGCAGGGTGGCCAACTTCCAAGTGGGGCCTGGGGATCTCCTGGAAATACAACTGAACTCCAGACAAGAGAGATGAGTTCCCCTGGAGAAAATGGCAGCTTTGGAGGGTAGACTTTATGGCATTACACCCTCCCTAAACACTGCCCTCCCCAGACTCCACCCCCAAATCTCCAGGAATTTCCCAACCTGGAGCTGGCAGTCATGGCACTAGAATTATGGAACTGCTTCCCCTCGATCATTGTCTTCCTCGAGCCGATAAAGACTTTTCTGTTTCATCTGGTGTACCCTAACGGACCCTTCTTCATGCATGTCTTTAAATGCTGATTTAATGTATATGTTATTTTTAAAGGTGATTTTCATTTTCTTAATTGTTCACTGCCTGGAAGGTCCATATTGGGCAGAAAAGTGGCATACAAATGTTTTTAATCAAATAAATAAATATTCTATCCATATACTCTTATTTCAACTAAGGTGAAAGGGGAGCTAATTGGCTTTAAACATATAAGAAGAATATAAGAGATGCCAATGTTGGATCAGGCCAAAGGCCCATCCCGTCCAACACTCTGTGTCGCACAGTGGCCAAAAATACCAGGTGCCATCAGGAGGTCCACCAGTGGGGCCAGGACATTAGAAGCCCTCCCACTGTTGACCCCCCCCCAAGCACCAAGAAGACAGAGCATCACTTGCCCCAGAGCCCCTATCTATACCGTGTGGCTAATATCCACTGATGGACCTCTGCTCCATATGCTTATCTAATTCCGTTTTGAAGCCATCCATGCTTGTAGCCGCCACCACTTCCTGTGGCAGTGAATTCCATGTTTTAACCACTCTTTGGGTGAAGAAGTACTTTTTTTATCCGTTCTAACTCGATCGCTCAGCAATTTCATTGAGTGCCCACGAATTCTTGTATTGTGAGAAAGGGAGAAAAGTACCTCTTTCTCTACCTGCTCTATCCCATGCATAATCTTATAAACCTCAATCATGCCACCGGGAAAACCCCATGTCTCTGTGCCTGCCCAGGACAAATTCTGTTCTGGATTCTACAATACATTCCACAGTTTAGCTCAAGCTGTACAAAACCCATTCCTGATTTAGACAAAATATTATGCCCTGCAGCTAAACAAATTCACTCAGTGCCTAATGCAGCAAAGTAGGTCTCTGCGTTTGTGCGTGACGGAGAACTTCACTATTGCTACTTTATGGAACATGTTTTTATATATGCTAAACTAAAACTATAAAAAAGCACAAAGGTCTATTTCCTCTGCAGTATTGGTCAAAAACTCATATTAAAACTGACATTTTGAACAGGGAAGCTGAAGTTATACAACTATGTTGTTTAATAACTATGTTGCTACTTACGCTGAGACCTGCTATAGCAGGGGAGGGTGAGCCAGAAATTAAATAAAGCTCCCCTTTGTGCCACTGAACTTGGATTCGAGCCAGTGCAACTTCAGCAGGTTAAAAATCAAACCAAACAGATCTTTGCATAAGCTTTAGCTCAGTCCTGTGCAAAACCCTTACAGGGCAATTTTCACCTGCACTCTCCTGTCCTTAAGCTCATTTAGTGCCGTAGTGCAGAAGCAGTGATGCACTCGAGACAATAGGACAGTGACAGGCCAAATAAAAGAGCTGTTTCAATTACATGTAAAATCCTACTGATGCTGCACATAGAGAAGCCCACTCTTTAAATAAGGGTTGCCAATTCCAGGTCGGTAAATTCCTGGATATTAAGGGGATGAGCCTGGGGAAGGTGAGGTTTGAGGGGGAAGAGACCTCAGTGGGGTATAATTCCTTAGAGTCCACCCTCCGAAATAGCCTTTCTCTCTCTCTCTCTCTTTTTTTAATCCCCGGAGGGATATTTTTTTATTTTGCAAATACTACAAAAACTACAAAGAAATATTAGGGAAGGGACTACAACTAAGGATAAAGGAAAGCAAACCACACTAAACTAAAACCCCAAGAGGAGGAGATCTTTTCACTGTTAGTAAATTAGTATTAATATCACAATATACTTGTAGAGTTCTTGCTTATAACAATTCACTATTTCTATGTTATTTTATTAGTTGTTATGAGAGAGAGCTCTGATCATCTTCTTATTCTTTGCTTCAAAGGGCCATTTTCCAAGTCCTTCTGCCTTTACTTCGGCTTTCTGTCTCTAAAATCATATACCACTCTGGCAGGTCCTGCACCCTTTTCTGCCACAGAGTCCTCTTCCATTCCAGAAGTAGCAGAGTCACTAGACTTTGTTTCTTCCTCTTTGGACTCTTCATCTGTCCCCAGCTGTCGTCTCAAAAAGTCTTTAGCTTTAAAAGTGGAGTCTATCTTCTCTCTTCTATCGTTGATCTTAAAGATGACACCTTCCGGAACAGCCCATCTGTACGATATCCCATTAGTTTGAAGGAAAGAAATTAAGTCCTTGTAATTTTTCCTCTTTTGTCTAATTTCAAATGGAATGTCCTTTAAGGTTTTAATGGTTACATTTCCCATTTTCAGTGGAGTTGCTGAAATTGCTTTTAAAATGGCATCTCTGGTTTGTCTTCTTGAAAACTTGCCCACTATTTCTCCAGGTAGGCTATTTTTTTAAATGTAATTGGAGTATGCCCTATAGGCTGACTCCATTTCGTTTACCAGTTCATCCGCTGTTAAGCCTACTACTGGAGCGATGATCTCACTAAGCACCCTCTTCAAGTCTTCCCGATCCATTTCAGGAACACCCTGAAACCTGAGAATCATGTTAGCTTTTTCCATCTGTAGCTGCCAAAACTCGATTCTCTTGGCAATTCTGCTTCGTTTCCACATCTCCCAACCTTTTCTTCAACTTCTTGCTTGTGGTGTCTATCTCTTTAATTTTCTCGTTTGCCTGCTCCACTTTTTTCTCTGTTTCGTTCAGCTGAAGCTGCTGTGCTGCAAAGTTTTTATTCATCACGGTCAATTGCTGGTTAATACCATTGAGTTGCTCCATCACCGGCTTGAGCATATCCGCCAGGAGTTTGAGGACATCTGCTACCTCTTCCGGTCTCGGACTCTTGCTGCCTGGCTTCATTTTAAACTTTCTCTGCTGGGCCACCATCTTTCCCGTTTTGTTTACAGTTACTACTGCTTCCACACAACTCGGAAAACTCACCAAACGACTTCGCGATTCAGATAAGTCTCTCAATCGCTCTTTGCAATCACTGTTTTCAACTGCCGGGGGGGGGATCGTTTTCCAAACTCCGTTTTATTTGAAATAGCCTTTTTCTCCAGCGGAACTGATCAGGGTTTCATGTAGTGTGTACGAAGGCTCTATGTATGTGCAAAATCTCTGTGTTGCCTCCTATCAGACAACATGACAATTGTACACATGGGGAGGTTAACGGGTGGCATGTACTCCTGATATGCACAGTTGGCAGGATCCTGTTACACACAACTGAAATGCTTGAAAAGGGCTATTCTAATAGCACCCCCCCCCATTCAAAGAATAACCTTGAAGTCTATTGTCCAGTGATGACAAAATGTTGTTTCTGGTATAAGTAGATACTTGGTGGCCTGTCGTGGGACAAAGTGCAGCTCATTTAGAACTTGTCTTCTGTTTTAATGGAAGGTTAAAGATAATTATAAGAACCCAGTAAGCATTTGCCAAGGAAATAAATTCTGCTTTTAGTGGTACGACATTTAATCACAGCAGTGCGCAGAATGGCAGTGATTACTAGATCAGAGCACATTAACAGCAACCCCAGTAGTTTTCCCATCAATTTGCAGAGATGTCTGAGATAAATCAACACCTTGGACATTTCTTATAAATTAACAGGACTCTCTTGAAAAGATGAATAGCCTTTCCAGAGGCAAATATTTAGATCCCATGGAAGGCAATCCAATGGATCTGAAACATCATGGCTAATTCCAAACACAGTAAAATGAAATAAATTTCTTGCTCCCTTGAAACATCAACCAACTTTTTAATAGTGACTAGATTTATTCTTTCTTTGGGCCTTGTTAAAACAAGAGAAGAAAATCCAATAATTTGGCCGAAGCTATTTTATATAATAAAGTCTGTCTAAGTTCTGTAACGTTCCCGTCGCCAGGGGTCATTTCCTGCAGGAGCGCACAGGAGTGGACCTCCGGCAGTAAGGAGCTCAGGGGGCGGGCACATGCAACAAGCCCCGCTCCCTGCTCCCAGCAGCCCTCAGTTGGACCATGTGGAACAAGAAGCAGCCAGGTAAGTTGCAGAGCCCCCCCCCCCCGGTCTGCCT